TGTGGTGTCAGGCTGAGTCCTCTGGTATTGCTCAGGTGGCCCAAATCCCTGTGGCTTTAGAGCCAGGCCTCTGGTGCCAGAGCCCTCCAAAGCCCGCGAGGGATAGGGTTAGGGCCCAGGTGAACGGCACTCCTGGTCTGCGGGTATGTGGCGAGCTTGGGATGGGTGTTTTTTCTTGAGGGCGGGGGTTAGGTTGAGTGTCAGGCTCATGGTTTGCCGCCAGGGGGCGCAGAAATTGTAGATTCTTTGGGATGGGCATTCAAGTTCTCCTTCTCTGAATGCTTTCCAGAGTTCCCAGTGGTGCGGTTTCCTTTCGGGTGGCAGCCTGAGTACCTTGGTACTGCTCTGGTGTCCCGAATCCTTGGGGCTTTGGAGCCAGGCCCTGGAGACAGACCGCTCGAAACCAACTTAGGGTTAGGGTTAGGGCTTATGGGCATGACAGGCCTGAGGTGCTGGCGCTATGATGACCTTCTCGGGGTCTGAGTTGAGGCCGTGGGTTAGGTTGAGTGTCAGGCTCAGGGTTGGCCAACAGAGGGCGCCAAATTTGTGAATTGGCTGGGATGGGCATTCAGAGTTGTGTTCTGAACCCTCTCCGGAGTTGCAAGTAGTGTTTTGAATTCTTTTTGGGAAGCAGAGTCCTCTGGTTTTGCTCAGTTACTGCCATCCCTGGGGCTTTGGAGCCAGGCTTCTGGGGACAGAAGCTAAGAAGCCAACCTAGGGATCGGCTTACAGCCTAGGGTCATTTCAGCCCTCATCTGCCCACGCTGGGGCAAGCCTGGGGGGCGGGGGATCTGAGTGGGGGGCGTGGGTCAGGGTGAGTGTGAAGCTCAGGGTTTGCGGGCAGGGGACCGTTGGATGTGGCCTTTCGCTGGGATGGGCACGCAGAGTTCTACTCCGAAATCTTTGCCGCAGGTTCCTAGTGGTGCGGTTCCCTCCTGGGAGACAGGCTGGATCCTCGGGTATTGCTCAGGTGCCCCCAATCCCTGTGGCTTTAGAGCCAGGCCTCTGGTGCCAGAGCCCTCCAAAGCCCGCGAGGGATAGGGTGAGAGCCTAGGGGCACGGCAGGCCCGACGTACCAGCACTGTGGCCTGCTTACCCCGGGGCTTTGTCTTGAGGGCCTGGGTGAGGTTGAGTGTCAGGCTCAGGGTTTGCCACTAGAGGGCGCAAAATTTGTGCATTCCTTGTGGTGGGCATTCAGAGTCCTCCTGCTCTGATTGCTTTCAGGAGTGCAAATGGTGCGTTTACTTTCTGGGTGGCAGCCTGAGTCCCTCGATACTGCTCCAGTGTCCCAAATCTTTGGGGCTTTGTAGCCAGGTTCTGGGGACTGACCCCCCAGAAGCCAACCTAGGCTGAGTGTTAGGACATAGGGACACGGGAGGCCTGATGTGCCAGCGCTACGTCGAGGTTCCCGGTGATGGGGGTCAGGGTGTGGGTCAGTGTGAGTGTCTTGCTCTTCTTTTCGGCCAGGGGACCGCTGAAAATGTGGGTTCGCTGGGATGGGCATGCCGCATTCTCCTGCTGTGTATCCTTTCCGGAGTTCCAAGCGGCGGGCTTTCTTTCTGGGTGGAAGATGAGTCCTCTGGTATTGCTCTGGAGTGAGCCCTAGGGAACAAAGCACTCAGGAGCCAACATAGGGTTGGGGTTAGGGCCTAGGGTTTAAGGCCTAGGTGTTAGAGCATAGGGGCTAGGGCCTAGGGTTTAGGGCCTAGGGGTTAGAGTGTAGTGGTTAGGGCGTAGGGGTTAGGGTGTAGGGCCTAGGGTTAAGGTTAGGGTTAGGGCCTAGGGTAGGGCAAGGGTTAGGGTTAGGGCCTAGGGTTAGGGCATAGGGTTAGGGTTAGGGGTAAGAGTATGGGTTAGGGTATGGGTTAGGGTACGGGTTAGGGTTAGGGTATGGGTTAGGGCTTAGGGGTAGGGTTAGGGTACGGGTTAGGGTACGGGTCAGGGTATGGGTTAGGGTATGGGTTAGGTTACGGGTTAGGGTTAGGTTATGTGTTAGGTTTGGGTACGGGTACTCTGGGTTCTGCTGACACTGTTCACAGTGTCCACAGGAGAAGGATGGCCCATGTGAATGCACACTGGCTCATTATAGCAGATCACGCTAGAGCAGAGGGGCAGCTTGGGCAGGGAATCTCAAACTTTGCCTCCGTTTGTGCTCTAGTCTTCCAGCAAATACGCCATAGGCTCTTGCACCCGCCAGGTAAGACATGGCTCTGCCTTCTAGGAGCAGGCAACCTGGAAAGTGGACGAGATTAAGACAAAGTACACAGCATAGTGATCTCCTGAAAATCGTTTTTGAGTGGCTGAAGTCCAGAGGGAGGATGGGTCTATTTGGTGTCTCCCTGTGCTACACTTCTGGCCTCAGTTAAGGGCAGACAGAGGGATGTATGTATTCAGTGCCACACTGGAGGACTGGGGACTTCCTTTGCGGCTGGGAGGACCACCGCTCAGAAGGTAGGATCAATGCTGCACCAGGAGCCCAGGGCTTTCTAAAGGCAGGTGAAGCTGGGTATGAAGTGGTAAGCTGGGCATGAGCAGGTGTGAACCAGGAGTAAGCAGGGCAGGGCAGAACTCCTGGGCCTCCACCTGTCCTGGGGTTAGGACCTCTGGTCCCTGGAGACCTCCCCTTGATGGCCCTCCAACAGCCCTGAGAACAAGCCCTACAGGGAAGGTAGTCTACCTCAGGAGACTGCGGTCCTGGGGAGTGGCCTGGGGCCCGCAGTGTTGAGCAACCCCTTCCTCTTTCCGTCTCTGGGCTCAGATATGCAAGCCTCACCTGTGATACAGGTCTTGACTTTCCCATGGCTCTTTCCTCAGGGGTCCCCCTGCCACTTGGGGTTTGCCCTTGGTGCAGGGTCTTGAAACACTCTGTGGACGCCACCTATGAGGAGCAGGGCCCAAGCCCTGGGTACCGCATGGAGCTGTCCATCTTATACGTGGTCTACTTCGTGGTCTTCCCCTTCTTTGTCAACATCTTTGTGGCCTTGATCATCATCACCTTCCAGGAGCATGGGGACAAGGTGATATCTGAATGCAGACTGGAGAAGAACGAAGTGGGTGGCTCCTTCTTCTGCCCCATGTGCACGTGTGCATTGGATGCTCTGCTGGGCTCCCCTGATAGGCAGCATGGGCAGAACCACTGGACTTCCCTTCCGCATGGGACTCGCTCATCACCGCATACCTGGTGGCCAGCACAGGGGCAGGGAGAGAATGAGTGTGGCTGGTCAGGGCTGCCTGCGAGGATGGAAGAGACAGGTGTGGGGTGCAGTGGGTGCTGCAGTGTGGGGTTCTCCCCCACCCCACCATGTTCTCAGTGCTCCTTTGTCCCCGGGCAGAGGGCTTGCATCGACTTCGCAATCAGCGCCAAGCCCCTGACACGGTAGATGCCCCAGGACAAGCAGTCATTCCAGTACAAGGCATGGACATTTGTGGTCTCGCCTCCCTTCGAGTACTTCATCATGGCCATGATCGCCCTCAACACAGTGGTGCTAATGATGAAGGTATGTTGGCCCAGCATGGGGGACAGTGGTTGCCCGCTGGGGTGTGAGAGAGAGAGAGAGAGAGAGCCATGGTTGAAGCTGATGACGTCCTGGTCAGCATGGGATGCCTATAGAAGCCCAGTGCCCTGGGTTCTCTGTGGGCTGCGATGGTGAGAGTGTCCTGGGAGAAAACGGGGAGAGCAGGGACGGGTATCCCTACCCTGGGCAGGTGTGAAGTTCTCTCTGCTCTGTTAGGAGGTCAAGGCTGGGGTGTCTTGGGGCAGCCGAACCTGTAGCCAATGGCACTTATTCCCTGTGCAGTTCTATGATGCACCATATGAATATGAGCTAATGTTGAAATGCCTGAACTTGTGTTCACATCCATGTTCTCCATGGAATGCGTGCTGAAGATCATCGCTTTTGGGGTGCTGGTAGGTGCCTTGGCTCCCTCTTGGCCTTTTGGTGGTCTGCATTCTGGCTCCCTCTCTGTAGGGGGGATCTTCAGGGACTTGTAGCTTAGAGCTGGGAATTCCCCAAGCCCCCAGAGCAAATGTGACATTGCGGGGGCTCCTGAGGAAGGGGCTGCTCCAGTTCCCTGAGCAGCCTGACCTCTGCCCCTAGCCCAGTTCCTGGAGACAGGCGGGGCCAGGCTCCTCCTCTTTGGACACACAGCTCCCAGTTCTGCACCTGCCCAGGCTCACAGGTGTTTGCTTACCCAGCTGTGGTGTCCCCCCTGGGTGGTCCATCTGTCCCTTTTCTCCTTTCTTGATTAGGGGTATTTCCTGCAACTCCTTGCCTGGCAGAACCCTTACCAGCCTCTAGCAGTAACTGCTCTTTTTTCTCTCCAGAACT